GCCTGAGGCCGGAACGCTGAGTCCCTGAGTCCCTGCGGCCATGGGCCTAGGGGTCCGTTGCTGTGAAACTTGGCCAAACGCGGTATTTTTGCTGGCGAACTACGGGAACCCGATAAAGCTGCAACGAAACATCTATTTTTGCAAAGGAAACTTCGAACGGACGACATTTTTGCTGCCAAACTTCGAAACAGCAATATTTTTGAAATTAACCCTTTTTTTTTTTTTTTGGGACAAATGCTCCAATCTATTCGTGGGGAATAACAAACATTACTCCCTCGGTTTAAAACAAATGTGTGCCCTGGGATGCCATGTAGTATCTTTCAATATATGGAGTTCACTCGCTGCTTAAGTGTGCTCGTCTGTTTGAAAGTATGCCTTTCCAATTGCTGACTGAATGGATTGCACTTGCACTTCTTTTTTTTTTTTTCGAGGAGCGAATGTGTTTTCGATCTCCCTCTTCGTCTTATTCGGATAATCGGGTGAGTGAGTTGCTTGTTGTGTGTATTGCTGTGCATGTGTGCAGGTGATCCTGCTGTCCAAACCAAAAGCGCTGCTGCTGCCGTTTATGTGTCTTCTGGTAGAAACCCGTTCAACGTGATTACTGATGCTGTGAGGTAAGGAATTGGAGATGCTGGAGGAACGAACATGATCATTCCTCGGAAGGCTTATGTTTGACGAAAATGAAGTTGTGTTTTTTCTTCTTTGGAAATGAAGATCATCCTTCGACATGATTTGGGTTGTCCTGGTGTTTTGGCTTTACATAAATTGTGTGTCCACCAAGTTTAGGCTTGCATGGTTGAGTTGAACTTGCAGCTCATGGCGACCTCGCAGAGCTCGATAAACCGATCCCAACGAACACTGCACTCGCCTGAAGAAGGCATATTTTAATTTTAATCCTATGATTCTAGTTTGAAATCACTGTTACTTCAATGATATATGGCTCCAATTAATCTAATGAGGGTGTTGGTGAATTCGTGCCAATCAGGACTGGCAGCTGAGAAACGGCATATAAGTACGGTGTTGTTCATCTCATAAAGTTTGCACCCAGTCATCCTTCTATCTATGATTGTAATTCAAGAGGTGTATCAGGTCTTATGGTTTTAATTCAACGGCTGTGGGGTTTCCTTCTACAGGTGTGTGCAGCTCATTTCAACAGCTGTGGGGTTTCCTTCTACAGGTGTGTGCAGCTCGTTGACAGAATGAAAGTGATGGATGATGCGCCAAAGGACTACCGTAGGCGTGTAAGCAGTGCTGCCGCTAGGACGTTAAAAGTTGAAGCTACTGACAAACAAATAAGCAAATGTGTACTGTATTGTGGACTCGGACTTGGCGTGTAGGCAGTGCTAGGACGCTTACAGTTTTTCTCCCTTTTCTTTCAAAACTAAGCTAGATTCTTCTCTCATATCCACCTTACAGTTTCAACTGCTTACAAACGGATAGGGAAATGTGTACATGTACATACTGCTTATTCTCTGTGAACGCCTGTGGCTCCGATATGTTGGTCGCAGGTCGGCCAGGTAGTAGTATTTTAGGTAGCAGCGCGGCAAAGAGAATTCAATGCAATGCAATTCGTGGCAATGTTTCTTGACGCTGGCTGAGCTCTTTCTTTAGTGGCTCAGCAAGTTGGTACAGAAATAAGTTATTTCAGTGCTTCGAGATGTGGGCGTAGGCAGATGGCTTGAAAACTGGATAATCTTCTTCGAGTGCTGAACGAGCGGCTCACAACATTCCTAAAGTTTCCAGATTCGTCCAACTTTGTATTTTGGAAGCATAAACAGTATATTGAAATACAGTTGTATTCAAGTCTGTTGGTAATATTGGAATGTAATCATTATCTACAACTAAGAAAATTTCCAGCAAAAAGACAAGTCCAATAATACCACCTACAGGCAAATAACGTAATACATTTTCGTGAATTTCTGCTAGTTAAGAAGTCGGAATGTTCAGCTTGTTTCCTTCAGACATGTTAGCTTTCACCGATGTGATTTCCCCTTGCCTGTTGGTTCGTATGATGTTTCCAAAAAAGGAGTTGATGAGGCTTGATTCGGGGTTCTCTGTGTATATATGTACCAGGGCGGTTGACTAACATTGGGCGGTTGAGGCATATTGAGAGTCTTTTTAATTGATGTTTGATCGGGGGTTCTTTCTGTATGTATCTGTATGTATGTACCACGGCGGTTGAGGCACATTCAGCGTTTTTTAATTGAGGTTTGATCGGGGGTTCTTTCTGTATGTATGTACCAGGGCGGTTGAGGCACATTCACAGTCTTTCCTACGAAGAGAGAGGAAACAGGTACGCTCATGTCGTCCTCCATTAAAGAAGAAGCCTCTACTGCGCTCTCAGTTCTGTGAAGGAACGCACCAAGTACTGGTGTGCGCATCTCTAAGGGAGTATCACGTTTGAATTTTGATTTTGAATTTTTGATTTCGATTTTATTTTTTTTTTTGATGAAACGAATCAGCCAGTCGGTCAAACTGGTAATATATCAATCCTGCTGGTCTTCCCGGGGTATCTATCCAGAATTCTCTGAGTCGTGAAATTGCCCCTTGTAAATCATAGGGAGCTCGTCTGGTTGGAATCGTTGGTGCCTGTCAATGTTCCATTTCTTTTGCTCTTCTGCTCTGGTGCTCATCTGCCTTCGTTGTTGAACTCAGTGGTTTGAAGGTTGAGGGTTCTCTTCTGCGTTACTCGAAACTTACTCCTATGCTGCAGCACGATTTGTCGGTTTTTTTTTTTTTTTTTTTTTTTTTTTTTTTTTTTTTTTTTTTTTATCATGCTTTTGCTTTTTTTTTTTTTTTTTGGTTGTTGTTGTTCCTCGTGTACTGCAGCATGATTTGTGCATTATGCTTTTGCTTTTTGTTTGCTTTTTTTTTCCATGCCAAGATGCACTATCTGTACTTGTGACTGAAAATAGGCGGTTGGTTTTGTGTTGGTCTCCTTGCAGCTTCCCGGTATGCTGGACTATTTTGGTTGGTGCACGTGGGACGCCTTTTATACTGACGTAACTCCTGAGGGCGTCCTCGAAGGCCTATCCTGGTGAATGACTCTACCTCTAAACAGGCACGAGGTGTGCCTGTTTACCATGTGTGGGACAGTGTCTGTCAAAACGAGTGTCTGTTAAAACGAGTGTCTGTTAAAACGAGTGTCTTATCACTGTCTTTTTCGTGTAAATGTACACCATGTACGACTGCATTACGTGCCTTAAATGTGTTGTGAAAAAATATTGCTGCCTACTCGATTAACATACCATGTAAATTTGTTAAAAAAAAAACACGTCCTGACAGACATCATGCAGTTCAGTTTCCATTTATGGTGATGCTAGCTAGCATGCTATGCTTTCCTTTGCCATTGCTATGCTTTCGTTTGCTATTTTTGCAGAAAAAAATGTTCAGTTGCCCTTTGTGGTGATGCTAGCATGCTATGCTTTCGTTTCCTATTTTTGCCGAAAATTTGTTCAGTAACTTCAGTTTCCCTTTGAGGCGATGCTAGCATGCTATGCTTTCGTTTCCTATTTTTGCAGAAATTTTGTGCACGGCTCTCTGATGCCTTCCACGAGTGAGGAGGATATTTCATTTCACGTTTTGGAATCAGATGGTTGGATTTCTTCTTCGTCTTTTTCCCGCTGGGCTGTCCTTCGTTGTTATTTTTCCACAGGTGTCTCTCCCTCCGCTTATTGCGGTGCATGCTGAACTGCATGGCTGTGTGAGAATGGAGTTGTGCAGCCATCTACTGTTGTGCCACTCCGTCTGAAGTTCTCTGAACACTTGGGATTTCAAAATGAAAGCTGCTGTCTCTGTCGTTGTGATTGTTTTGTGTTGTTTTACTCTTTGATTCACGTCGCTTTAGCAGGTTAGCTCCGCTTTGTCCAATGCTGTATCGTCACAGCCTTTAGGCCACAACTGGTTGGTGTGTTGTCTGAGCTGCGGAGCAAATCTCCCATTATCTGTGTTTATTTAACTTTATTTAACTTTATTATGCAACGAGTCGCAATTCCTTTTTTGTTACCCTAACGAAGCCCGCAGCATAATTCAATGACGTGTTCCTTTACAGAACGACGATCTGTGTCACATTTCTCCAACCCTCTATGTGGTCTCTCTCAATGCCCGAGTTGTTGGAATTCCTTTTCCGTACCTTCACTAGACAGCTGCCGCAGCTCACTGCCTCAGGTCCCATTGATGAGGGTACGACTGTTGTTTATAGGGTACGACGGTGGTCTATATTTGGAGGCTGGGAGTGGAATTAGGGCATGGGAACCGCCAAGTAAGTCTCCAAATATCTGAGTTAGTGGAACTCCTCTTTTGCACCTTGACGCTAAACCGCTGGTGGAGTTCAATTCCCCAGGGCTGGCTGATGAGGGTACGATTGTTGTTTACTTGTGGGAGGGGAGTCAGTGCAGGAGCCCTTCCAGGGGTTGCTGCTACTTCCCCGCAATGAGATGCGGGTCACTGTTAGTTGATTCACTATGCGTCACTATTAGATGTTCCAGGTCAATGATCAGCTTGGTTCTTTTTCCTGAGATAGGTGATGTACGCCACTCACACGGTAGAGTCTGTACCGGACTGAGGCACATCCCACTGCTGCGATTAGTAGCAACCCTTGGTAACCTTGCATCAGTTTCACTGCACGGCAAAAACAAATGTACCCTCGTCTATTCATGCGATGTGGAGTAAACACAAATCACGGTGCAGAAAAATTCTGAGCAGTTTTATTCAGTGACATGCCACTGTTGCAAGTGGTGGTAACCCTTGGGAACCTTGCACGACTTCACTGCCGGTGAAAATCAGTTGGTACTCCCATCTATCTGTGTGAGGATGTGCTTTCCAGTCGATGTGGGTTAACCCCAAATCATGGTGCAAAAAAATTCTGGACACGTTCTATATTATCTATATAAGTTAAGTGACATCAACTTGGAGGTTTCCTCAGAGTGATCCATTGTAGGAAAATTTAGTGAAGTGTTGTGGCGATGCAAGCTTGGTGAGGCAAGGTATGCTTCATTGTGTGTAGTGAAGTGTGCTGAGTGCTTGTAAAACACATGAGTGCATGGAAAATCACATCAGTTCTAGGTTGTGCAAAATAGATCACTTCCAGTCGTGGGAAATCGTTGCCTGTGAGTTTTTTCTTCTGGACGATTTCAGGGACTTCTTGGGTCTCAAGGCAAGTAAAGACCAAGGAGTTGATTCGTTGTTTTTTTTTACAACTGTCTATTTGTTACGGAAGCTGTGTGCTCATTTTTGCTGCCTTCTGAGGTTAAAACTAACAAAAGTTTCACTTGTTCAATGAATGGCGTGCAGCCTGGTGGAGGGAGGAGCACCAGCCCGATTTGTGATCATTGATGACGGGTGGCAGTCCACTGGAAGGGACCATGATGATAATGCTGCAGATGGTGCAGTCACGGCCGGAACACAGTGAGTCAGTTTTTTTGGGTATTGCCCAACATTATAATCTGGGTGGGGTGCGTGTTTGATTAAAGCAGTGCAGTCAGTTCAGAGATAGACGTGTGTTTGATAGAGAGTGCAGGTAACGGACTTCAGTAGATGGGTTCACAAATGTGTTTGAGTGAGTCCAGGTAAACAGTTCATGTACGTGTGTGAGTGAGACCAGGTAAGTTCAGTTAAGGCTAGGCGACAGTGGGTGTATGATCTTTCTCAGCAACTGCTCATGTTAACCATGCCGTACCGACTCTCATTCAGGAATTTCCAGAGAGAGTTCGTCTGCATCTGTTGTATGCAGTGTGGATTCGTTACTGAGGGCCTTGCTGTGTCACTCACCAAATGTGAGTTCGAAAAAAACAAGGAACTATTGTGGGTGTATCTTTCCATGTCCTAAAGGAAGATATGCTCTCCATTTTGCACATTTGGGGGGTTGTGCAGGCGAGGCTTTTTATGGACAGGGTAGGTCAAGCACATCCAATCTGCTATGTTTTAGATTTTGATTTGTCCCTCGTGGTTTATTATTTTGAGCTGAGACTGGTCCTTGCTTCTGGGCGTTTGTGTTGCGGCTGATTTTTGGGGGAAAGTTGGTTGTGTGAACTTTTGTGACCTGACCTGTTGTCCTTTATGGTGCTTTAGTTTGTTAGGAGTCTTGACAAGAATGTCTGTCGGGACATCTGTTAAAATTGGAACCATATGGAGAAGATTAGCCTTGGGCCCTGCGCAAAGATGACACACATAAAAGAATGACCACTATGCTTGGCTGTTGTGTGGGTTAATGTCTGATCATCGACTCTGATGTGAAAGTCAACTTGGCTATGGTTTAAGGTATCCGTATGTTTCAGGTTGGGGTTTTCGGCTGTCAATTTCTCAAGCTATTTGTCTTACCTTCACGAGGCTGTAACTTCTTTGTAAGACGCAGGGATTGCATTCAAGGCTTGCTTTGAGTCTATATGGGTGTGTGTCCCCTGCACTGATTTCACTCCGTGTGGGGATGGAGTTGGGCGTGTACTGCTTCGACTTCCCTCCAAGCAGGGATGGAATTGAGCAGGTGGTGTTTTTGGGATGTGGCTGAGCCCATCCGGGCGATTTCTGACAACTCCTCTGATTGGATGTAAGAGGAGATGCTGTTGGCTCTGTCTGTGGTGTTGCTGTTGGCTTTGTCTGAGGTGTGAGCATTATGCATGCTTTCTGTTCCCCTTTTCTTTTGTGGTGCGAATTCAGTTACGCATGCTTCTTGAAATGTGGAGGAGATTTTCTGCAGATGTCGAGGATTCAAAATGGAAACGAGTTCAATGAGGACAATTGTTGGCAGCAGAGTGGAATGCTACACGGGGCCACGCACAACGATCTCTAGATGAGCAGAGCTCTGAGCCTTGGGCGTCTATATTTGTTGACGTCTAGTGAATTTGTGAACTGGATTTCTGACGTCCTGTTATTTGTATGGGGATGGAGATGCACAGGCAGGCACTGTTTGGGGAGGAAATGGCTGAGCAGACCCATCCGTCCTCATTGTGTTTACGTGTACTTTTAAGATTTAAGAGTTTTTTGGGGCACCTAAAATGGAAAATAGAAACAACTCTAGCTGGATATCTGAACTGTGGGGATTCTGGGGCTTGGTGTTTAAATGTAAGAGTTTTTTGAGGGACCTGAAATGGAAAATGGGAACAAGTCTAGCTGGAAATCTTAACCGTGTCGATCTTTCTGGTCCCATGGTCTGGGGGTATAGAATTCTGCTGCAGGGATGTTGTCTTTCTGAGGGTGGACTTCAGCAATGTTGTTTTTTATTTTCTGAATCTGTTTGAACGTGGAGTTGCTCTGATGGACCAATTCCATGAACTACTGCTATCACATGACACATGGTAGGCACTGGGGACCTAATCTCATCAATATGTTCTCGAGTACCAGTCTTCATGATATTCTTAATAGACCTGTATCAAAAATCACCGTTCTTTTCTCTTTTTCTGTGTCGTAATAGCATTTTTTTTTACTCTGCTATCACATGGTAGTTTGGGTAGCCTATATCGCCTGGGATGAGTGCAACAGGGAGGAGCCTTTGAGGGAAATGGCGGGGTCTTGGTGGGAAGAGGCTTGTCAAGTCGGTCTACTTTGTAGGGGGGAGTCTTGAGAGTTTGTGGAAAATGCCAAGGTTTTCGTGCTGGGAATCTCAGGAGCTCAGGTAACTCTAGACTCGAGGTACATTACATGTCATCATTGTCATGTCCCACTTGGGAGGGGACGGTATTAAATTCTTTGGTTTGTCTTTTTGGTGGTTCTTGTTTCTTTTTCAAATTTTAAATACCGTGTTGTTGTGGCTTGGGTGCAGGTTTGCCACGAGGTTGACAGCACTGAAGTCCAACGGAAAATTTATGAAGGAAAGCCCCAGTGAGAGATCAGGCGGCGATGCAGTGGCTTTACCTGGCAACTTTGGACACTTTGTGAAGAACATAAAGAACACGTTCAATCTAAAGTAAATGTCTTGTCATCTTTGGTTCTCCCCCTTCACTGGGAAGAAGAAGAAGAAGAAGATGGGTGGTGAAGGATTTGCCACCCATACCCATGTTCTTCTTCGTCTTTCTGTGCTTCTTCTTAGCCCATGTTTTGTGCCCCCCTGCCTGCCATCCTTCACCACCCATCTTTTCTTTTTCTTCTCCTCCTCCTTTGCTTCTTCTTCTTCTTCTTCTTCTTCTTCTTCTTCTTCTTCTTCTTCTTCTTCTTCTTGTCCTCATCCTCCTCCGGACCTCTGCTGCTTCTTCTTGGTCACTGTTCTGTGCTCCCCTGCCTGGCATCACCGATGACTATCCGATTTTTTTATATATTTTTTTCCACTCTATTCTATGTAGCTGCGCGTGGGGCCATGTTTCGACCTTCTTCCATGGTGGCCGTTTCCCCCTACTTCGCCTGAGGTGACCCCTCCCTGCCGTCTTCCACCCATCTTCTTCTTCATCTTTTTCTCGGCATTGTTTGTCACCCCCTGTCCGCCATCCACTTCTTCTCGCCATCGTTTCTCACCCCCCATCTTCGAACACCGATCATCATCATCTTCTTAACAGCCATTCCCAACTCCCCCCTGAAAACCCTGAAACCTCCCCCTCCCCCCTATCCGGGAACCCTTCTCCCCCCCCCCCCCCCCCTGACCAGGTTCACTTTTTTTTTTTGCAGATTTGAAATCCTCTGGGGTAGCACAGCAAAACTCCGCCTATCCCTGCTGGGTTTTTGGGCGGCCTGGATTTCTTGGGTGGAATGGCCGCCTGGCCGGGCGGTAGCCCAGCCTAGCATAGAACTTATTTGGATAAGTGAATGGCCTGATGAAATCTCATTGCAAGTTGATGGAGCTGATTTGGATTAATGTTAGTTTTTCTGACCAGACTGAATGGCGTGGTACTTCCTGTCGAAAAACTGTGTTGCTGTTGGCTGACATACACCGGGCTCAGGCCGCTCTGTGTTGCTTTTGTAATGCCTTGAGGCTCACTACGTTTAAGGCATTAGAAAAGCAACGCAAAGCCTGATGCATGTCGACTAATAGCAGCCAAGTTTTTCCAGAGGATATATCCTGTGCTGCAGTCTAGTATATAGACCTTTCATCATCAGGGTGTCACATAGTCACATGGTAGTCTATGCTGGGGTGTTGCATTTGAATGACGCAGTTCTATTGGCCATTGACAATGTGACATGACATGGTCTGTCACTGACATGGTCTGCGCATGACATGGTCTATGACGCTTGCTTGATTGTCATGCCTAAGTATTGGACTTGATGGGGTCTTTTCTGTGACATCGGATTTTGTTGGTGGGTGTGTTTCGTGTGGATGAAAATGCAGGTACGTGTATGTTTGGCATGCTCTCACTGGGTATTGGGGAGGAGTTTGCCCCAAATCCCTGGACATGGAGCACTACACCCCTTCGCTGAAATTTCCAGTCCCTTCTCCGGGGGTCTTGGTGAACCAGCCAGATATGGCAGGGGACAGTTTGACACTCAATGGGCTGGGCCTTGTGCATCCGGGGAAGGCGTTTGACTTCTTCAACGAGTTGCATGCCTACCTTGCGGCCTCTGGTGTCGATGGTGTCAAAGTGGACGTACAGAACATTCTGGAAACCCTTGGGGCTGGGTTTGGAGGACGTGTGAAGATCACAAAGATGTACCAGAAAGCTTTGGAGGAGTCCATCCGCCAAAATTTCCCTGATAATGGCTGCATTGCCTGCATGAGCCATAATACAGATGGCCTCTACAGGTATGCCTGATTATCTCACCCCAGACCAGGTCCTGCTTTATCTTGACGAAGTTCCCGAAGTGTGATTCAGTATCTTTGGTTCCGAAAGTATTCATTACTGTTTCTCACTTTCCTATAATTTTTTTTGTGATTTGCATTCCCTGTGGTGTTGACAAAGGACTTACCAATAAGAAGTTACTATCCAAATTTCAGAGCAGTGAGCACTCAATTCTTGTCCTTTAGTCGGACTCAGTCTCTGAAGCACTAGAAAGTTGGCTCCAAATCAGATCAGGTTCCTCTTCTTGATGAAACGATAAACACTTCCTGCTGGCATGCCCGATGGTTACCCAATTATGGCAGTAGTGGGATGCAGCGTTCCACTTCCATACAGCACTCACATGCCATGGGACCTCGGGCTCCTACTGCTCGACAAGAACCAGCACTTACTGGGCGAATGGTCTCCCTTTGCAACCAACGTTTTCCCGTACTTGAGAGCCAGATGCTCCTCTGGAAGGAAGGACCATCAATTTGGACTGCGGCAAGCACAACAGGCAATAAAAGAAGCAATCAGATCCTGAACACCGGAATGGCAAATCAGGTTCGTCTTCTTGATGAGATGATAAAGAACTGCAGTACGATGAATGGTCTCTCTTTGCAACCCACCTCTTCTTGTACATGAAGCTGCATGTCGTTATGTTGGCCTGGAGAGCCAGATGCTCACTTGAAAGAAAGGACCATTAAGTTGGACTGCAGCAAGCACAACGGGCAATAGAAGCAACAATCAGGTCCCGAACGCAAGAACTGCAAATCAGGTTCCTCTTCTTGATGAGATGCATTACAATGAATTGTTGGCTAGGAAGTCAAACAGTGATAAGGCAGGGACTTGGGGACTGAAACAGGGGTAGCATAACTATCTCTTGCTGCTGCTTGGTTAATGAGATGATCGACGTTGCAGTTTGGTGATGGTGGCTAGAAATTAATTCAAATGGAGTGAAAAGGCCTAATTTTAAAAAAGGTAGGAGCTTGTCATCCCCTCATGGATTTTGTATCAGGACGAGAAATAGAAAAAGTGTGAAATCCAAAAAAAAAAAAAATCCAAAAAAAAAAAAAAAAAAAAAAAAAGTGAAAAAAAAATCACTAATACACAGAAAAACACAGTGCGCTTGACAGTGCCATAAAAATGTCCAACCATTTCTTTGCAGCAAGGTAAGTTTTTGTTCTCCTTTTTTTTTTTTTTTTTTTTTTTTTTTTTTTCTTTTTTTTTTTTTTTGATTTTTTAAAAAGAAAAAAATAAAAATTTTTTTTTTTTTTTTTAAAAAAAATTTAACAAAAAAAAAAAAAAAAAAAAAAAAGTGTGAAATCCACAACCCAAAACTTGAACCGAACCCAGTAAGGTCAAATGGCATTGAAGATGGGAATTCTGTTGAGTGTGTGTGTGTGTGTGTGTGTGTGTGAGAGAGAGAGAGAGAGAGAGAGTGGTGGTGCTGCACTGGTGGATGGTTTCCAAGACAAGCATGACCTAATGCCCAAATGTGCTCCTAGAAAGTATCTGAAAAGATTGGAAATAGTCCAACAAAAGAGGCCAGAAATAGTCCAACCTACCGAACTCTAGACAAAAGTCAGCCTGCCTGTGAATGAAGCTAGGAGGTAGCCTGGCATGGGTGATGTAAACTGGAAGGAGGCTGATCAACCGGCTGAGAACCAAGAATAGCCTTGTGGAAGGAAGCTGATCAAGCCTTTGAGGACCAAAAATAGCTGTGTACAATGGCAGTCGGTTGTCGGTAGTTGAAAATGACTTGGGGCTTCTCATGCATGTTTATCTTGTTTGTGACTTATAAATAAGAAATAACGTGCGCGTGCCCAATGTACTTGACATTCCACTTCTAGCCTGAAACCCTGCCTGGCCTCCTACAAATCTACAGATCATCAAAAGACCAGCCCATCTGATCCCGCAGAAGAAGCCCTCTCCATAGGAAAGCCAGCCCCCTGGGGGTTGCTGATAGTCTTGTCACCTGGGAGCAATCCTGCTGGGTGTTCCTTTGCGTGTAATAGGTGGAAGGGTGGTTCACTGTTGTCTGAGTTGCTGGTGGCAAGGAAGGAGCCACACTCATGGTACACATAACAGAATGGTGCCATTTGGAAATGGAAGATGTGGTTCGTTTTTGCGTGGTAGTAAATGACGTTTGACCAAGCAATCAATCCTCTCAGGGGATCCTTCGGGCTTTCTGGGTGGAAGTGTGTTTTCACTGTTCTCTGATTTGTCGGTGGAAAGGAGCCAGACTGATGGTACTCGCAATTGAATGATGCCTTTGGAAATGAAGATGTGGTTTGTTTTTGCTTTGGAAATGAAGATGTGGTTTGTTTTTGCATGGTGGTGAATGATTGACCAAGCAACATGTTGCCAGGAACTTCAAGCTGTATGCTCAACTGTGATATGATGTAAATCATACCAAAATGTAAGCATGCCAGGCTGGACTGAAAATTATTTCTTACTTGTTTGCTGTGTGATCCCATCAATGTACGCTCGGTTGTGACAGTGCAAAGCAAACGGCTGTGGTGAGAGCTTCAGAGGATTTCTGGCCAGCGGATCCAGCAGCACATACTGCCCACATATGCTCTGTAATATACCCGTTCCTTGCCTTTCACTACCCTTTTTAGTACAACTTTTCCTTTTCATTCCCCAGTGCAGCTGCTGTGTCGCTGAAGTTATCGCTGTCTGTTGGCGTTTTGCCGTTGTTGGTGGTTGAATGGATCGATCGCAGAGTACATCCATCTTACGTAAAGAGTGCACATCTAGTAATGGTTTGCACAACTTTGCAGACTGGAACGTCCGTCTTTGTTGTTGTCAGGGCAAGCGAGTAGGCAGGTGTCGCCTTTGCTGCACAGGCCGACTTGTGGTGCACCTTGTCTTATCATACCCTGTTTGGGTAGCTATGACACGCTTGCTGCAGAGGTTCACTTCTGGTGCACCTTGTGCCATTATTCCTTGCTTGGCTGAAGCTATTCCACACATTTCTCATTGCTTGTTTGTTTTGACTTTTGAGCCTTTGACACACCATATGCTACAAGCTCACAAAGATTTACATCACTAACTCAAATAAAATACACATAACCAAAGGAATTGCGTGAAATATGTAAATTGATCTAATTCAGGCATTTTTTTTTGTACTTTTGTGGTTTTTTTTTTTCGTGATTGTTCGCCAATTTCTTTGACTACGATATTCAAAATTTTTGGATTCATTTTTAAGATTGAGAACATTCTCAATTGACTATGAAAAACTTTTCAAAGGCTCAGGAAGGAGTCCACTATAATATAATGCCAGAAATCTAAGATCAATTTCTGACAAGTTGCTTATAGAGTTTAGATGGTTGCACTTCGTGCCTAAAGAGAACCAGAAGGTTCGATTAACAACTTTTGAAAGTTGAAAAGAAATTGTGAATCAGTCGTTACGGAGAACATATTGACTTGCGTTTAACTAATTTGAGCTTATCTTTGATCCCTCCACGGCAATGGTGTGTCGTCTGCCTGAATGCTTTTGTCCTGCTGTCGACTGCATGTTTTGGCATGTTGTATGAATGGAATGCGGTGTCTGAATGCTATGGTATGACTGTTGTTGGTTTTGTAGTTTCACCTCCAGTTTATTCGCAGAGTTCATGTGAATGGAATGCAGTGCTGAATGCTATGGTGCGACTGCTGTAGGCTGTGTGTAGTTTCACCTTCGTCAAAGCTATGTGAATGGAATGCAGTGTCTGAATGCTATGGTACAATTGTTATAGGCTTTGTAGTGTCACCTCCAGTTTACTTGCAACTGATATGACGGAGCTTCAATCACAATCCTCGAGTGTTGTGCTTCACATGCTGATCCTCCTCTCTAGAATGCAGTGCTGAATTCTATGGTACAACTGTCGTAGGCTGTGTAGTTTCACCTCTATGTGAATGGAATGCAGTGTCTGAATGCTATGGTACAACTGTTGTAGGCTTTTTGTAATTTCTTCACCTCTAGTTTATTTGCAACTGATATGGAAGAGCTGCAATTACAATCCTCAAGCTGCAATCACAATCCTCAAATGTTGCTCGCATATCCATTATGGGGAGCATCAGTCCGTTTTGCACGCTGATGCTCTCTAGTAGTCAATGATCATCAAATCGACGAGGAGCATGCAGTGCTATGCACCTATTGGTTCGAAAAAAGTTGTGTTTTAGTGTGGTTTGTATGTGTGATGTGCTAAACTGTTCAGGAAGTATGTGTGAGATGTCCAACGGCTGTAACAGTTAATGTGCTATACGATGAAACATGATTCAGTTAGAAATGTCATCAAGACTTTTGTTTCCGTGTTGTTGTTACTTTGTGATATGCTTTCATATTGGTGCCTTCATTGCATCTCTTTGAGCCTGGCGGCACTGGCTTGCCTGTTTTGGCATGCCAGCCTGGCAGTCGCAAGTGGTAATTCTCCTTTGGAGAGCATGCGACTCCTGTGGCATGGTTATGTTCACAATTTGTTAGCCTCCACTTGCGAATGCGATGGTGGTATGGTATGGCTGTTTCCGACTCTTTTGCCTGGAGGCCTCCTTTTGCCCTTCAGACTTGGCAGTTATTTACCAATGAGATGTGTGTGGTTGTGTTTTTGTTCTTTTGCCAGGTTGCATACAACAGTCTCTTCTTGGGAGAATTCATGCAGCCAGACTGGGATATGTTTCATGTAAGTTTGATCACTTGTTTCATCTCCCTGTGTCGCATCGTGAAGAGGCAGCCATAGCTTCTGTGTAATAATTGCTAGACGGGTTAGCCATATGCGTAGCTTCATGAGGAGGTAGCCATAGCTTCTGTGTAGTAATTGCGAGACGGGCTAGCCATCCTCGTATACCACTGTTCAATGGCAATTTCAACAGTACTTTTACTGCCCTGCCCATCACAAGCTTTGGCCAGTGTGGAATGACGAGGGTTTGAGAAGTATGGTCTTCCGAGGTTATAATGTGCAGCAACTATGTAGTATGTACTAAGGAAAAAGACTTGGAATGATGGTAATTATGAGAGCTTGAGAAATATGGTCTTCAGAGGGTATAATGTGCAGTGACTACGTACTAGGGAAAAAGACTTTGAATGATGGTATTTGCTTACAGCTGAAGCTACTGGACTGTCTTGAGACTTGCCTCTTTTGGCAAATTGAATCCAGATGTGCCCTTGTAGTTTTATGTGAGGATAACACGTAAGGATGCTGTATCAGAGGATGACCAACAGTTATCGGAGGATGATCAACGGTTCTGCAGTATGTTAATGCACTATCTCTGAAATGGATGTTTTTTTTGTTTTCTCTTAAGAGGTCATCTTGGTATTCAGTACTATTCACCTGTTTGTTTGATCTTTTGTTATGTGGAATGCTGTATGCTATTTTGTAGGCTGGGCCGTCGCCCGGCCAGGTATAACAGTATTTCTCGGCAAAAAGCTGGAGCTTACTTGGCCGTGTTCTGTTTATGTTGTTTTGAACAGAGTCTGCATTCTGCCGCAGAGTTTCATGCGGCTGCTCGTGCCATTGGAGGATGTGCAGTGTATGTGAGGTAATTATCAGCAATGATTTTTACATGTCCAGTGTCCACTCCCTATGTGATCTATCAAAGTACCCACTGGTATATATGCTAATTGTACACGATTTCCCAAAGCTTGCTCCAGGTTCCCAAAGCTATGCACATTATTCATGACTGGGCTACCTGTTTTTAATTTATTACAAGCTAATATATAAGTAAATCTTGTAGATGCTGTTTGATGTTGGGGTTGGGTAGATCCAGAGTACCAGCGTACTAGGTACGGTACTACCATCTTCACCTGAACAGAATGCACGACCATCATGCTAGATGCATTCGGCGCAGCTTCCAGTCTAAATACAGTGATAATAACTGTGTGCTCTATTCGGCTGAAAATGGTAGGTAATGTTTAACTCCTGCCCGTCTTCATGTAAGGCCCTTTATTTGTAATGTTCCGTTTGGATAATATCTTTCACAAGTTCCTAGTTACTGATTATTTTGTGGTTAATATTTTTCACCAGAAAATCAATGATCGTGTGCTGTCAATGTGAAATCAAGTTTTTGAAATGTAACCTATATATTCTCCCGTATGCTCTCCTGTCTGAGCTACCCCTGAGGCGTTTCTCTGCTTCTTAGCCAGATATGTCCTGGTCTCCATCCCCCCTCGCCATCAGGCAGGCAAAAAAGTAGACTATAGAAATCGGACCAAATCAACTATCGTAAGACGTAATCATGTTGATGCCGTGTCTTAGTGCGCAACAGCCCTTTGCTGCATCGTGAGGCTGGCCGTGCCATCACCAGGAATTTTTGCAGATATATCTGAGTCTAGAGAGTGGGTAAGTAAACAAGACAATACGCCGCCAGACTGAACCCGTAGCTAATGGGAATTGAAAATTGACGATGGCAAACCTCACGGAGCAGAAGATTTCTTTCTTTCTTATCTCAATTATGTAATCAATCGCTTATCTTACTTTGTGTTCAAGGCCTCTGGGCTTACTCTGACGGTGTCTATAAACTTCTGGTCCTGTGTTGTACCAACTGCTGAATAGTTGATTATCTGATGGAGTACTGACTTTGCCCCGGCTTAGCCAGCTACGGTTCCTTGTCTGGCTACTTGGTGGATTTCCACTGTATCCTGATGTTTGTCTCTACTGCCTCCATAATATTGATGATTGCTTCTGAAACATGTGTCTGCTTGCGTCCAGCATTATTTGCGGTACTTTTTCCAAATCATGCAGGTGGTGTTCTTTCTTGCAGCCTCTACTTCTTTTAGTAGAGGTGCGAACTGTATGTTCTCCTATGAAAGTTGGAAAGAGAAAAGCTGCCTCCATGATACTGGTGATCGCTTCTGAAACATGTGATCGCTTCTGAAACATGAGAAAAGCTGCCTCCATGATACTGGTGATCGCTTCTGAAACATGTGATCGCTTCTGAAACATGTGCCCTGCTTGCATCCAGCATTATTTGTGGTACTTCTTCAAATCATGCAGGATCATGCAGGTGGTGTTCTTTCTGGCAGCCTCTACTTCTTCTTTTAGTAGAGGCGGCAACCTGTACTTTCTCCTATGGAAGTTGGAAAGAAAAAAAATTCTCTGAAACATGTGCCCTGCTTGCATCCAGCATTATTTGTGGTACTTTTTCAATCCATTCAGGTGGTGTTCTTTCTGGCAGCCTCTACTTCTTTTAGTAGAGGTGGAAACCTGTATGTTCTCCTATGAAAGTTGCGAAGGGAAAAAGAAATTCCTCTCCAATCCCTTGTGTATGAGAACATTCCTGTGTCTTTGGCTCCCCGCTTGAGGATACTTTTTCCCCGCAATGAGGATGCGAGTTTACAGCCCTACTTTCTTTTAGCACGCCCTATTTATCTGTAGATGCTATTTCTGATGCACTCCAGGCGCTAAGGCTAATCTTTGCTGTGTTTTCTTTCCTTTTTTTGTTCCTTTGTTCCTCGATTGCGGTCTCTTGTTGTCTGGGTATGGATGGCTCACTTTGTGTGGGGTTGTGTGGTGTGCAGTGACAAGCCTGGCAAACACGACTTCACGGTGCTGAGGAAATTGGTTTTGCCGGATGGCAAAATATTGCGTGCAAGACTTCCGGGGCGCCCAACGCGTGATTGCCTGTTTATTGACCCATTACGGGATGGCTGCAGGTTTGTCTCGTGCATAGCTCACCGCCTGGTAGTGCCCGCATGTAACTACGTCTTTATTTTGGTGCGAGAACTGTGAAAAAGTCGACTTGGTCTACACCTGTTGTTTCTCTATGCCTTGTTAGTTGTATCTGAAGATTGCTATAAGACCCAGGTTATGGGACACGTTTCATGACATATGGTGCAGTGCAAGAGTACTGTGCAAGCTGTTCCCCTAAGAGGGGTGTGATGGATATTGCCCAGAGGCCTTGTGAATTGCTGAATAAAAGTGAATACCACTGAGTATGCTTTGGAACGGATTTCAAGGGTTGGCAGGGTTGCCCTTTTTGGTGTATTTGGACGAAATGGCACCTTGTGAGAGATGCAGCAACCAAGTCAGACAGGGCTTAGGGTCCCAGCAAAGCCCAGGGCAAGGGGTTGATCCAGCAAAATTAGAAAATCCAACAGTTAAGGAGCTGAGAGGAACAGGCTGGCTGAGGCCCAAGGAAACAAGCTCAAGTAACTAAGAGCTACCATCTTCACCCCAATAGAATGCCCGGTCATTATCGCTGTATCTGGACTGAAAGTCGCCCCATATACAGCTATAATGACCGGGCGTTCTATTCGGGTGAAGACGGTAGGGTAACCAAGCTAGAACCAAGGGAAGAAACAAAGTATAGCAGGCTAACTTAGGCAGGGGACCTCCACACCATAAGGGGGAGGGGTGTGCGTGAGTGTTTAATTGTAATCCCCCTTCTGACTTGCCGGTGGAACAGGAACCGGACTAATGCTCCCCAGAATGGAAAAGGGACCAGAAACATAAGGTTCTGTTTTTTTTTTTTTTTTTTCCCTTCTTTAAAGGCACCTGGTGAGAGAGGACGGCAGAGCTGCTTTGGTTTATTTGGTTGCGATGCACATCTTACGTGGTGGACCTTGTCCCTCTTTTGTGTGTCTTTGTTTGTGTTGATGCACAAAACATGCAGTCTGCTGAAGATCTGGAACGTAAATGTTGTAGGCGGGGTCGTGGGTGCCTTCAATTGCCAGGTGTGTTATTGCATGCTAAACTGCTCTGCAGAATAGAACACTTCTGTTTCCCACTTTCCAGCCTCTCAATGGGGTGGATACTTTTGGCACGAGTGTGAACAGTGTTACTCGTTGACATCATCATCGCTTTGTGTTTACCATGGGGTTGTCAGCCGCGAACAATTTTAACCGAAGTGCCTCATCCGCTATGAAGTTTGAGCATATGTTCGCGGCTGACAACCCCATGGTAAACACAAAGCGATGATGATGTCAACGAGTAACACTGTTCACACTCAGTCTGTCGCTTTTAACCACTCGGCCACTCTCCCGAAGAATTCAGCATCCTACAGGATTTGAACCTGTGACCTAAGACTTTATTGAAGTTTATTCTATTTGCAATTTTGCGCAGTGAATCGACGGCAATGGTGCTGGGAAGAGGGGACCACATTTGAGAGTGAATTATGTAGCACTGCACGGTATTTGATAAAATGCCAGAGTGAAAGTTTCCAAAAATGAGCGATGGTAAATAACTAGGAATACGCCCTTCGGTACATCCGTTAAAAATTGGAACGATACAGAGAAGATTACCATTTCAATTTTCAACCGTTTGTGGGTACAGTATGGTCAGTGGGTATCTTTTCGAATTTTCTATGCTTTCATGCTGGCAAAAGCAGTGCATTTTGTTGATCTCCTATTGGGTAATGATTATAGTTTGGAACACTCCAATCAGGTGTATGCACTGTGCAGGGACTCTTTCTGATTTTCTGCCTACATTCTGGAGAAAAAAAGCAGTGCATGTTGTTGATCTCCTATTGGGTAATGGTGCTATTCCGCAACACTCCGAAAGGCATATTCAAACTCCAAAGAAGAGTTTCCCCCTTCAGGACGATTTGACTGCACACACACAAACAAACACATGCGCATGCACACGCGTGTTTACATTTGTCTACAGGTCAACTGCTGATTTGTATGATGCAATACGGCAATATCATTAGTTGTCATAATGGATGGTAAATTGGTAAATAGGTTTTGTTATGCAATATTTTTTCTCTGCTATTATTTTAATTTATTTATTTAAATATATAGAGTTAACTAATCTGAATAATTTTCTTTGGGACATCGTTAAGATTGGAATGATACAGAAGATTAGCATTACCCCTGTGCAAGGATGACACTCGCAAATAGAGAAATGGTCCAGATTAAATCATTAAACAAAAAAAGAAAAAAAAAAAAAAAAAGAAAAAGAGTGAATGTGGATTGTTTACATGTTGTTGACATTGGTTGATTCTGTGCTGTCGTGTGTTAACAGGGATCTGGGTGGTGCAGGACTGGGCTGAAGTATGTGATCCATGACCCAACGCCCAACCGTGCATCAGGGCATGTCAAGGCGACAGATGTGGACAGCCTGGGAGCACTGGTAGCTCATGAGGCATGGAATGGCGATACTGCTGTATATTCACACCTTGGAGGTACTGTATCTATGTATTGCTTTCCTTGCTCATCTTGGCCTCGTTTTCGGAGAGCAAGGCCTCGTTTAGGAGGTTACTTTGGCTATGTATTGCTTGCCCATCTTGGCCTCGTTTAGGAAGACTTAAGTGTGAACTAACCTGATAGATGCGGAAGAAAAGGCAGATGCCAGCTTGCAGTGAGTTGAATCCATGCATCCCATATTCTACAGTCTGGCCACGCTGACTTTCAAATGGTCACTGTGTATAAACGAACCACTGCTGGGGAAGACACTGCCACCGCACTCAATGATGATCGCATCATATGTTGATTGGCTGCAGCCTTGACCCCCCTTCCTCCCTTTTTGTCCACTTCCTCTCTTCCCCCCTTCTCTACCGACCCCTACCATGATGGTTGCTGCCTCTAATGCCAATCTTTCTCTATTAGCTTTCATTCGTTTATGCCGTTTTTGTACGGCAAAGAGAATCTCAAGATGTTCAATGTAACTAGACAAGCTGCAAAAAAGAACATAATAGTTCTGGAAGTGTACACTTTTGATAAATCTAAGCTGTGTCCTAAATCCCACAACAAATGTTGAATTCCGTGGCTCATATGATAGCGTAGTGCTAAGAAAGCAAGCTAAATTGAACAGAGTTCAACAACTGGACAAATCAAAATGTTGAACTGGACAAATCAAGATGTCTGTTCCCTCTGTAGGCGTGTGTGCAACTGAGTGGGCGAGAGACAGGCACGAAGCGCTGTGTTTTTACGTAGTACCACTCAAAAAACCAACTGAGTGGGCGAGAGAGAGGCACGAAGCGCTGTGTTTTTACGTAGTACCACTCAAACCCCTTCACTCCCATTTTGGCCCGCCCCTGCATTGCTGTGTGTGCTTCCTCCCACAGGGGGAATGGAACTTCCGAACGAGAATTGGCTGCAAGCTCTGTAGTGTTTGCTCTGGGCAAGGTTTGGTGATTTTGCAAGCTCTGTATTGTTTGCTCTGGGCAAGGGGTCAACAACTCTCCGTGCTTTGGGGGGCTAACCTATGAGGAACTGAAGCAACAAGTGTGGAAAAAGAAAGCAATATGTTCCTGCGGTCGTCCCATTCTTGCTTGTGCAATAGGCTGGCTGAGGAAGTGAAACAAAAGGTGTGGAAAAAGTGATGTGGTTTATCTGGTTGTGTGTTTTGACTCTTGAGAGATTCTGAGCAAAGCTCTCTCTGCCGCTTGCGCTGATGATGCATTTGTGACTTTGATTTCCTTGCAGGGGAACTGATCCTCCTTCCTCGGGGGCAGAGTGTACCAGTCACGCTGGGTGTGCTCGAATACGAGATCTTCACAGTTGTGCCTGTCAAGGTAAGGTTCATGAGTCCGCAGCTATGCTAACGTACTATGATCTACGTGCATCATCTATGGTGTGTTGTCTACCGTCGTTACCCAAACTAACGCCCGGGTGTTAAATTCAACGTACCACATGGTTGCACCGTTGCATCCCTGCCGACCGCCGACCCCGACCGTATTGCAGCTGACCAGTAGGGCCGACCGGTCGGCGGTCTTCCGACCAGTCAGAAAACAACC